ATATTCTCTGAGGGATGACACATTGAGCAAGAATAGGAGATGGAGTGTACTAGTCGCCCAGGGCCGGGACATGGGCCTTCCCCTGGGACTGGGGTATGGGCTCAGCCTCACCCAGTGACATGGAGTGCAAGTGAGAAGGGTGATTCTCCAAAGAAAAATCAGGGAGCTATTTTTAGAAAAAGAGACATGGGTCGCAGGGAGGAAAAAATAGCTCTGCACACAACAGACAATGATTTTCTGGAGGCGACAGACTAGAATGGGTGATGGATTGTCAGCATTGATACCAGTGGTCTTCCTGTGCTACAGAGGCTGAAAAGATAAAGCTCCGTTTCCCAAGTTGCATGCAACTAGGATTCTGGGTGCAAATTAGGATCTGCCACTTAGATGCATTTCTGCAAGATTTGAAAAGGGGAAGTGAGGTAGCGGTCATGCCATATTCAAATATATATTTTCAAAAATATATATATATATACAATTTCAAAGAAGAAGGGAGAAGGGAGGGTATAGGAACATTAATGATGAGAAAGAAGCATTTATTGGCTGCCTCCTGCACGTCCCCTACTGGGGATCGAGCCTTGCAACTCAGACATGTGACTTGCTGTCCAGAAATTGAACGGTGGCCTCCTGATTCATAGGTTGACGTTCAACCACTAAGCCACGCTGGCCAGGCAGTCATGCCATGTTCTTTTCTTTTTTAAAAAAATATATTTTATTGATATGTTTTTTTTGCCCCTCTCCCTCCCATACATACCCTCCCTCCCCAGAGTTTTATGTCCATTGGTTGCACTTATATGCATGTATACAAGTTTTTCGGTTGATCTGTTATCTCCCCCAGATCTCCCTCCCCTCCCCGCTGTAATTTGACAGTCTGCTTGTTGCTTTACTGACTCTATATCTATCTTTTGGTTCATCAGTTGTATAATGTTCTTTATTATCCATAAATGAGTGAGGTCATGTGGTGTTTCTCTTTCATTGATTGTCATGCCATGTTCTTGAGATGAGGTTGCCAATGTCCCTTCTCCAGGTTCAAGGATGTTGAGAGGAAATTCTGGCAACAGCCATGGCAGCAGCCCACATTCCAGTGTCCAGGTTGGGCTGGTGGCAGCAGCCTCCCGTTTTAGCTTTCTGCTACCTGGATTGTAGCTAGAGCAGCAAGTCTTGGAACTCGACCTTCCTGAAGGTCGTAAAGGGAATGGCTTCCCTGGGAGCGTTCTGGGAGTTACTTGTAAAAGCCTAGTCCTCCTGCCCTTCCAGGGGTTTTTGGTCATTGTCTAATCTTTGTGTTGAATTCATTCTCTTTTAAACCCTGGAAGTGATTCTGTTCTCTCACCTGATTCTTGACTGATAATACATAGGTGTGGTTTGGAGAGGCACCTGGGTGATTTGATTCTGATATGACCTCTCTTCTCCTTGAGAATCACTGATGTAAGAGAAGAATGACATGAAAAGATGTCTGTGACATACTAAGAAATGAAAGGAAATTACAAATTGTCTGATTCTCTGCTCCCTTTCCTCAAGGCGTATGAGTCTATAACCCAGATATCTGCCTCGGGAGATTGCCGATATTTCCAGCCTCAGAGTTCCTAATTATTCAAATGCAAGGATTCTGGCCTCTATTCCCCAGACTCTGGTTCCACCCTCAAATAAGATTTTTCCAGGGGCTCATTGTTCCAGCGACTGCAAACATGTTCAGCCTTCAGTGTGTTTTCATCACCATTTTTTGTTCCTGGCTGTACTACTAACCCCAATCTTTGTGTGCAGCAGACCTTATTGGAGATAGGAAACACAGAATCATCACACTTCACCGTGTGGGTGACAGCTTACGCTGAACATTAGATATCAGTGCCCTTGATACCTACCTGCCATCTCCCTCCTGAAGACAGTGCTTGATGTCCCTGTGTGTGCCACCTTTCCCAGGCTGCCCACTAGCCTATGCTGAGCCTTAGAGCAAATTAGAAGGCGATGCCTGCTCTGAGTGGTGCTGATGCAGCACCTGCCCTGAAAGAACAGGTGGGCAACTAAGGAATTTATGCTCCATCTTCACTGGGCAGCTGCCACTCCGTTCTGGCCACCTGAAGTATATCAGGAATGATGTGAGTCAGGCTTGCAGGCCTTGTAAAAGGAAGGGGGGGGGGGGGGGGCCAAAAACCCAGATTTTAATTTTATTGTTGTTGTTGTTAATCCTCACCCGAGAATATTTTTCTATTGATTTTTTTTAGAGAGGGTAGAAGAGAGAGGGAAGGACAGAGAGAAACATCAATGTGAGAGAAACACATTGATTGGTTGCCTCCTGCACACACCCCAACCAGGGCCCGGGATAAAGAGGAGCCTGCAACCAAGGTACATGCCCTGGACCAGAATCGAACCCGGGACCCTTTGGTCTGCAGGCTCTTCCGCTGAGCCAAATCTGCTAGGGCTCAGATCTTAACTTTGATTTTAATTTCATTTGTTATTAACTAACAGGCAAATGAAATATATTTAATAAGTACTTACTATGTGTCAGGTACTTTCCTCAGCACTTTATAAGTATCAATTATTTGGTCTGTATAACAACCTCTATAGTAGTTACTATCATTATCTTCACTTTACAGATGAGGAAACTGAGGCAAGAAGATTAAGTTGTCCAAAATCCTCTAATTAATAAGTGGCAGAGCAGGATTTGAACTCAGGCTTCTGCCTTTAGAGACTACTCTCTTAATCATCATGTTTTACTGCTATGAACTAAATTTGGCCCAGGCATTGCAAACTTTATATCTGTGTGAGAGCCAGTACAATCCAATAGAGCACTCTGTGATGACAGAGATGTTCTATATTCTGCTGACCAATGAGGTAATCACTAGCCACTTGTGTCTGTTGAGTACTTGCAAATGTGGCTAGGGCATATGAGGAACTGAATTTTTAATTTTATGTCATTTAAATAGCTTCATGAGACTAGTGCCTACTACATTGGGCAACATGGGTATAGACCCTTCTCTCTCGGTTTTTTCAATGCCTTAATTTTTTTTAATGGTTATCATTTTTTAAAATTATTTATCTTATTTTTTAATTCTCACTTGAGGACATGCTTAGAGAAAAGAAGGGAGAGAGACAGAAACATTGATTGTCTTCCTTATGTGCCCTGCCTGGGAATGGAACCTGTAACCCATGTATGTGCTCTGACCAGGGGGACACTCAGCCAACTGAGCCACTCCCACTGGGCTCAGTTCCTTAATTTTTTAAATTTCATTTTTCAATGTCTTATTTCCTATCACCGCCAACTGACAGTGTTTTAGTGTAACCTTTGTTTTTTGTTAATCTTTGCCCTAGAATATTTTTTCTGTTGATTTTTAAAATATATATATATTTTATTGATTTTTCACAGAGAGGAAGAGAGAGGGATAGAAAGTCAGAAACATCGATGAGAGAGAATCATCGATCAGCTGCCTCTTGCACACCCCCCACTGGGGATGTGCCCGCAACCAAGGCACATGCCCTTGCCCGGAATCGAACCTGGGACCCTTCAGTCCGCAGGCCAACGCTCTATCCTCTGAGCCAAACCGGTCCCGGCTTTCTGTTGATTTTTAAAGAGAGCAAAACATTAATTATTAGAGACACATTGTGATGGGTTGCCTCATGAACACAAGTGCCCTTGACTGGCAATCGCACCCTCCACCCTTTGGCGCATGGCCGATGCGCTACCATTGACCCACACCAGCCAGGGCTGTAGTCTTTGTTTTTTTAAAAAATGTTTTCTCTCCTGTCTTTTTTTTTTTTTTAATATATTTTATTGATTTTGTACAGAGAGTAAGGAAGAGAGATAGAGAGTTAGAAACATCGATGAGAGAGAGTCATCGATCAGTTGCCTCTTGCACACCCCCTACTGGGGATATGCCCGCAACCAAGGTACATGCATGCCCTTGACCGGAATCAAACCCGGGACCTTTCAGTCCCCAAGCCGATGCTCTATCCATTGAGCCAAACCGGTTTCGGCTCTCCTGTCTTTTTCAACCATGTTCTGGGGAAGGACTTTTGATATTCATTGGCTCATGGGGCCCAAGAGCTATTTTCCCTCACAGGAGAATCCTGGCTCTGATAGGAATCGGGCTACTCTCTCCCAGGGGCAGAAATGCAGCAGCCCTGGGTTTTGTTTTCCAGATTGCATTTCCCCCTCTTTGATGTATATTAATATGTATAAAAAAGATTGGAAAGATACATGCCAAAATGTTAATGGTTATGTTTGTGCAGAAGAATAATAAATACATCACCTTATTTTCTTTCTTGTGCCTTTACATTTTTTTCTACAGTGAACAAGTAGAAATCATATAAAATTTTGAAATCATACAAAAATAGTTTAAAAAAACAATTCTCTTTAATTCCCAGGAGGTCAGCAAAGGAAAACCTCAGGAAGGGAGCCTGGCAGAGGACCAGAGAGCAACCTGTCCAGGTGCGGGGAGGGGTCACATAAGGAAAAATAAAACTGAGGGATTGTCTGAGGGATTATCTGTGCAGAAAATTGGATTATGAGGGGTTTACAGAGTCCTGGGAGGGTGTGGGAAGCTCATAGATTCAAACAAAGCTGAGCTGAGACAAAAAGAGTAAAATTAACTCAAAGGATATGTACCTGGGTCTGTGGTCATTGATATTTACATAGTCATAATATTAAAAGCAGGAAGTATGACTTTTAACTAAACTTGTGTTAAAAGACATTGAGAAGGGGGTGAAGTAAAACGTAAATCCTCCAATTCCATAATAGGAAGCCTCTGGGTAATGACTGTAAGTGAAAATTTAAGGAATACCAATGTAAGTTTGTTATTAGACATGGGGGGGGGGGGCGTGATGGGTGTAAATACAGAAAAAGCAGCTAAAAGGAGTTAAAAGTGTTGGATCTGAGGAGCTGGATTTGGGCTAGGGTAGGGGGAACAGAGGGCTTCTGTTTTTCCTTAGGCTTTTTCTTCTATTTTACTTTTTAGATTTTAGGAAAAATCTGTACCTATATTATTTATTAAAGATAACTTTTTTTAAAAAATATGAAATGCTTCACAAATTTGGGTGTCATCCTCGCACAGAGGCCATGCTAATTCTTCTCTGTATCGTTCCAATTTTAGCATATGTGCTACGAAGCGAGCACAATAACATTTTAAATAGTTTTTAAAAATTCCTTTTACTGACCAAAAAATAGGTGTGGCACTACCGTGGCTTTCTCTCCTCCTGCTGATGTCAATTGTATCCCTGCTTCCTGGTCTAGTCTAGGTTGGGCCACATTTTTGTCAGGCATTGATGCTCTGTTGACTAATGAGTTTGCCGACCTCTGGTTTAGACCTTGGGCTCTCTTTTCAAAGTCTTTAAACTTACAATACTAGCAGTGCTCTCTGCTGATTGTAGAATATTCAAACAGTATAGAACTCAGTATACAAAATCATGAGTTTCCCCTCTATTCTGTAAACCCCTCGTAATTCAATTTTCTGCACAGAGAAAGTCCCTTGTCCACACAGGCTGAATGACTACAGGACTTCCCAACACCTTCCTTTGTCTTTGACAGTCTTATCTTCCTCAGGCAGCCACATTGCAGAGGTTTGCTCCACAGAAAATTGAATGGCTGAGGCTGATCAGCAGCATGAACTCCAAGGCCAGAGGATGGAACTGGGAATGTAGAGAAGGAAAGAATCCCAGGGTATGGTTCTGTCCACTCATTATCCGGTCCAGGCACATCCCACTGGGGCCCAGCAGTGCCCTAACCGCAGCTGGAGGTGGGAGAGGTACAGGAGACAGCCAGGACCTGGTGTTCGCATGGGATCTCTGCTAAAGAATCCAGGGACCAGGACAAAAGCACAATATCTATTCTAGGTAATCCAGGACCTTCTCCCCTCCCAACCCCACAGGAGGCAGACGGCCTAAGGAAGACAAGATAAGCTGCCTGGGCAAATCCCCTCTTTCTTCTCTCCTATGAGCCCAGCCTGGAGACTGAAGGGTCCCAGGTTCGATTCCAATCAAGGTTGTGGGCTTGATCTCCTGTAGGGATCATGCAAGAGGCAGCCAATCAATGATCTCTCTCATCATTGATGTTTCTCTCTTTCTCTCTCTCTCTCTCTCTCTCTCTCTCTCTCTCTCTCTCTCTCTCTCTTTCTATCTCTCTCTCCCTCTCTTCCTGTCCTTTCATCTCTCAAATCAATATATATATATGCTTTCCATATTTAGTCCACAAATCTTTGTGGAATGCCTATTGTGCAAACATCGTGCTAGGCACAGGGGATATGATGATAAACAAAAGCAGACAAGGCCCAGCTCTCATAAAGGTTATAATCTAATGAGGAAAAATACTTCAGTTGAATAATCACCTTAAATAAATATATGATTACAAAATAAGATTAATACTATTATGATAAATACTCTAGTAGTCCCTCAATATCCATTCTCCCTTTATGAGTAGCATAGGTAAATGTCCACTTTCAGGTAAACATATGGTTACCTGGAATAACAAATACATTGATCAGCCTTCTTGCATCTAGAGGTGGTCTTGTGGCTAAATTCTGGCCAATAGTAACAGAAATGGTATGTATACAGTAGCTTCCAGAAAATGTCTTTAAAGGAGGAGGCTTGCCCTTTTCTCCTCTTTCTTCTTCTTGATTGTGGGAATGTGGACATAATGGCTGGATCCCCAGCTGCTTTCTTGAATCATGAGGTGACCTTGGGAATGAAAGCCATGTGTAATGGAACAAGACTAAATAAAACCTGGGTACCAGGCACCATGGATTAGCCCGGGACTTCTGCATGTGAAAAAGACATGCACTTTAGTTTTGTTTAAACCACTGTGACTTGGAGGGGGGGGGGGGGGGTTGTGTGTGATTTTTCAGTTATAGCAGGGAGATAAATGGTTTTATCAATATATATATATATATATAACATGGAATCTGCCCCATACTGGGGGGCTTCTTTGAGGAAGTAATGCTTTATTTTTTTTTAATTTTTTTTTTGGTATTTATTGCCATTTTATTGTTCCTGTTGTTATTTTTTTTTAAATCAATCTTTATTGTTCAAATTATTACAAAGGTTCCTCATTTCTTCCCCCCTCCACCAGGTTCCCACCCCACCCTCCGCCCCCTCCCCATCCCCCATTGTCCTCATCCATAGGTGCAGTTTATGTTCAGTCTCTTCCTCCCTCCCTTTCCCCAATAGTAAATCCCTTTTCAGATAGTAAATCAGTTACTTAGCATTTTCTCATATCAATAATACCTCCACATGCCCAATGATACATTTCACACAAAAGACATTTCCAAATAGGTCAACCAGCCTCATCCAGGCCCCACCCAAGGCACTCACAGATCAACACCCCAGCCCTATACTAACTCAACACATCCAGATCTAAGCCTTCATCACTTGATTCAGCAGACCCTCAAGTTCCCACCAAAGTTTCCAGCCATGTCTGAGAGGCAGCCGTGGGGCAGGGGCAGGCGAGGAGCGAGCTGTTCCGGGCCTGGAAGCTCCGGGCCTGGCCTCTGTTGCTCTGGTTCGTTCCACAACCAGCTGCTCCGGGTCTGGTCACTGCCGCTCCCGACCTAGTTGCTCTGGACTTGGCTGCTGCTGCTCCAGGCCTGGCCACACCGGACCCGGCCACTCCGGGCCTGGCCGCTCCCAGCCTGGCAGCCGCTGCTCCGGGCCTGGAGGAAGTAATGCTTTAGTTGAGTGAGCCAAGAATGAAGTGGGATGTAAAAAGGTTTCAAGCAAAAGGGAAAAATTCCCTTTGCAATGGCCCTGAGGTGGAAGGGAGCTTGGCATGAAAGGAAGAGAAGGAAGGCCAGGTGGCTGTGACAGGAAAAGTAAGGAGAGAAGTGGCACAACATGAAATCCGAAAGATGACCACATAGGGCCTCCTAGGCTTGTTAAGACTTTTGCTCTTTATCCCAAGAATAATGGGGAGCCACTGAAGGGGTTTCAGCAAGGGGTTACCGGGTTAAATTTGCTCTCCCCTGGGCTCATAGTTCCATTCATCTGAAACAGTTACCATGCCCCACCCCAGAATATCCTTGAGGCCCAGACAAAATATTGTTTACCTGTGAATAAATTTGTGTTTTTCTTAAGTCATTTTATTGCTGTGGTAGAATATGTAACACAAAATTTGCCACTTTAACTGTTTTTAAGTGTGCAATTCAGTGGCTTTAATTACATTCACAATATTGTGCAACCATAACCACTATCCCCCACTTTTTTTTTTTTTTTTTTTTTTTTTTTGTGGATGAACTTTTGCACTTATTTAACAACTGTGTGTATTTAACAACTGTGTGTGGGATTGAACTCTATCATTGCAGCAGTCACTATGTGTGAATTCCTAGAAAGTGGGCTGTGGGCTATGAGGAACAGTTGACCATGTCGGGGTCAGCTGGGGCCAGCCTGAGGAATGTCATACCCTGGCCAGCAGGGCCGCCAATCAGTCAGCTGTCACCAGTCAGGCCATTCGGTGTGCTTTGCTTAAGAGGAAGAATATAGCCCCTGAACTGGACCAGGGACGAGACCAGAGTTAACTGATGTTTGATGTCTTTCAGGATCTTAGGAAAACGTTTTGGCCTAGTTGATCTACCAGAGAATGCCAGAATCAATGGGGATTTTGTCTGTGATTCTCAACCGGGGGCGAACAGTTCTCTGTGGATATACACAGCGGTGTGCCCAGGACACAGGAAGCCCCAGGACAGACACGGGACATTCTCCTGGAGCCTTCATTTGACTTGATGGGAAATAACTCACATGCTTTTATTTTCAAACAAATGTACATGCATTATGAGACAGAAAGTGACATAATGAAGTTTAAGTGTAAAATATAAAGTTTAAAGAGATTACACTTGCTGGTTTGGACCTTACTCTCAGATTTCCAGGAATATTTGTCTCTTTCCCCAGCGGATAGTAGTATTTTGGTATAGCATAGTGATTATGAATAGATTCTCAAGCCAAAGACACAGAGGCCACCGCTCGCTCTGATATTTCTTAGCTGTGTCACCTTGGACAAATTATACAACCTAGCTGAGTCTCGGTTTCCTAATCTGTTAAACAAGAAAAATGATTTTACCTAGGTATGTGTTAAATATTTATAAGACGCTCAGCACACACCAAGTATGCACTAGGAGTTCTTTCTTTAAAATATATTTTTTATTGATTTCAGAGAGAAAAGAAGAGGGAGAGAGAGAGATAGAAACATCCACGATGAGAGAGAATCATGAATCGGCTGCCCCTTGCAAGTCCCCCACTGGGGATCGAGTCCACAACCCGGGCATGAGCCCTTGACTGGAATCAAACCTGGGACCTTTCAGTTCGCAGCTGAGGCTCATTGAACCAAACTGGCTAGGGCTGGGAGTTCTTTTTAAATTTTATCTTTACTGTTGAAAGTATTACAGATGTCTCTCCCCCCTCTTCCCTACCCATGAACCTTCTTTATTGATGAGTAATAGTATGAAATGGTAATAGTTTAGACCAGTGGTCGGCAGCCGCAGTTTGCCACTCTGTTGACTAATGAGTTTTTGCCGACCACTGGTTTAGACCGTGGATTCTCTTTTCAAAGTCTTTAAACTTACAATACTAGCAGTGCTTCTCTGCTGACTGTAAAATATTCAAACAATATAGAACTCAGTGTAGAAATCATGAAATTTTCCACTTCCCCTAAATTCCAGTGACCAGACCAGAGGTAAACACAAATAACTATTGTTGTGCATCCATCCTGCCAAACATTTTTTAAAAATTCAACAAATGCGGCCCATGTCCACGGGAGATGCCAACCATAAGGCTCCACAGCTGCTTCCTGCCACTGGTTTCAAATGTCTAAACATAAAATGTAATACTTCTAGCATGCACATCTTATCGTATGTCAATAGTGCCTCAATAAAATGGTCAAAATTTGATAAGAAAAAAATCAATATAATTTAGGATTTACTAATACAAGGGCAGAGGTGTGCTGGAACTGGCTTGTCCAGCTTGTGAAAGCTGATAGTTAGGTTTTGAGCAAGCCAGTTGTTAACTACAGCCATCATTAAAACATAATTTATGCACTTTTACAATTAAGCTAATTATATATTTTTTAAAGTAATAACTACTTGCCCTGGCCAGGTGGTTCAGATGGTTGGAGCTTTGAACTGAAGTCATTCCATA